CTTTCTCTCTCTCTATATATGTTGTTGTTGTTGTTAAGTGCCATCGAGTCGGATCCGACCCATAGCGACCCTGTACAGGGTTTCCGAGGCTGTAAATCTTTACGGGAGCAGAACGCCTCATCTTTCTCCCGCGGAGCGGCTGGTAGTTTCGAACTGCTGGCCTTAAGGTTCGCAGCCCAATTCGTAACCACTACGCTACCAGAGCTCCTATATATAGATATATACATATATATGTCCATATACCTATATGTGTCTCGATACATATATGTGTCTCTATATATCCATATGTGTGTGTGTGGTGCCCTGGTGTGGTGCTATAGGATGAACACTGTGCCACTAATCACAGAGTCAGTGGTCCAAATCCACCAGTTGCTCTCAAAAACCCTATATAGTGTCACCATGTTTTGGAACTGATTTTATAGCACTTAACAACAACAACATTTATATGTATATAAACATGTATATATATATACACACACACACACACACATAAATATATATACACATACTTACATTTATGTGTGTGTTACTTAGGTTAAGTGCCATAATTGAGACATTGAGACTGTTCAAGGTGTAGCTGGTGAATATGAACTGCATATACACATATAATATATATGTACTTGAAATATAGATATAAACAAATATTTTTATGTACATTGATATATACACACATATCCACCACACGTCTGTCCATTTCTCACACTGTGGTAGCTTCCATGTTGCTGTGATGCAGGAACCTAGACCATTGGTAATTTGATGCTGGCAGGGTAACCCATGGTGGACAGGTTTCAGCTGAGCTTCTAGACTAAGACAGACTCAAAAGCACTGTAGGCAGACTACTACTGACAACCTTATGAACAGCAGTGGAACACTGTCAGCACCAGAACACTGAATACTGACACATGAGGAAAACCACCAGATTATTGTCAGGAATAGTGCCGGAAGATGAGCCTTTCAGGTTAGAGGGCACTCAAAATATGATGGGGAAGAGCTGCCTCCTCAAAGTAGAGTTGACTGTGATGATGTGAATGGTATAAAGCCTTTATGACCTTCATTTGCTGATGGGGCACAACTCTCAATAAGGAGACACAACTGTAAACATCCATTCATAAGTGATACAGGGAGTGTACAAAGTAGGAATCTAGGAAAATTGGAAGTTGTCAGAAATGAAATGGAATGAAATGCATAAACATCAATATTCTAGGCATTAGTTGGCTGAAATGGACTGATATTGGCAATTATGATTTTGACATTTACATGGTTTACTAAGCAAGAGATGACAAAATAATGAGGAATGGCATATTCATCATCAAAAGGATCATTTCAGTATCTATCTTGAAGTATAATGCTGTCTGTGATATGATAATATCCATGCCCCTACAAAGAAGACCCATTAATACCATGGTCTTAGCTGGGTTTTCTAGAGAAGCCAAATCAGTGAAACACTATCTATCTATCTACCTGTTTACATATAATATATACAAAGATAAGCTTATTATCAAGGAAACTGCATACAATTTGCATAGCCCCAGGCCCCCAGCAGGAGAGAGAGAAAAACACTCCAGAATGTTCATTATATTGGGAGCAGGCCACACCCCCAAGCAAACATTCCTTAAGTTGACTGGATGCTCATAAACATTCACCATAGAGCTAGCTATACCTATATTAGGTTTCATCACCATGGAAATAAGCACATCTCAACTGCTAAACCTCTGAAAATCCAGGTCTAGTTAAAGTTGATGGAATACCCTAACTATTGCAATCTACCTTGTCAACTAGAAACATATAAACTCTATGCATTATCTATAAATAAAGAAAAGTTGTAAAGTCATTCATGCATCTAACATGATGTAATTAAACCACATACAACCAAAAACACACTAGTCATTAATGAACAAGGTAAAAACATTTGATGAACACACATAGAAAACTAAACAAAAGTATATATTCATATAAATGTCCAAAGTGCACATTCTGCAAGCCAGCCTCCTGCCCATACGTACACAGCATTTACTCAGTCCATGGGCCAAGAGTCCATCACTGCCCTGACTTTCCCGCCACCGCCTCTGCCACCTTCTCTTATGTCACCACTTTTCCAGGCAGGAACCTCAGGCTCCACTCATGCTTTTCCTTCCTGATGGTCCTGGGATCATTGGATCCTGAAATGCAAGAAAACTACTCCCTCATTTAGTTACACATTTTCTACAATTATAGTTTTAGCAATTGTAATGAATCCTACTAACAATTACCCACAATTGAATTGATAAATTCCTATGACCATCCCCCCCCATACCCTCTCACCAGTCCCATCTGGAATAGAGGAAAACTAGTCAGTGGAGATTTTACCATATCCCCTCACTGTAAACCTCAGCACACCTATGAAGTTTGTTCATTGGTCACTTCATGACTTTATAACCCTCCATTTTTTAAAAGTTGTTGTCTAAATTGCCTATCTGTATCAACCCAGTATACTGAGGAGACAAGCATGTGACTTGATATGAAAAATCTTCCATTCCAGTTGGACTTTTGAGAAACTGCATTCATAAGCAAAAAATCCAGTCCCACAAATTGTAGCAGTTGACAATTGCTCAGAGTATCAAGCATCTTTATCTTCATCTGATCATATTTTGGTCAGCTCAACCGTTGTTGTTGTTAAGTGCCATTGAGTCAATTCCAACCCATAGCAACCCTGTATAGGGTTTCCAAGGAGCAGCTGGTGAGCTTGAAACACTAACCTTGCAGTTCAAACGACTTTGCAGTCTGGCACATTAGCCCACAGCACCACACCAGGACTCTAGCTCAACCCTAGCCACCCATTAAGGGTCCTGGTATGGAGTTTTGTGGTAATATGCTAGACTGCAAGGTAGGTTTAAATCATGAAGTTGGCAGTTTAAGCTCACCAGCTGCTATTCAGACACTATGAGTTGAAACTGGCTCAGTGGCACTTAATAACAACCACTACAGCCAGCCAAGCTAAGTCAAATGGGTACCAGCTACAAGTTTGGGAGTTCACACACACCTCACTGCACATCAAATCAGCTACGGATTCACTCTCAGCATTCCAGTCAATGGGCTAAGTCAGGGTCCTTAGGGTTAGGAGTTAATATAACGACCTAAACTTCAAACCAGCCAACCTTCCTGCTCCGCTTACGTCAAGGTCAGTGGGTGCAAATAGAACATGTCCAAACTCAGCCCGTGTCTTCATTACTACATTTCACCCTATTTCACACATGAGGAGATCCAAGAGGTCACCAGTGATCAATGAAACACAGGTTCCATTTAACTTTCTGTCCTAGAAGGGAGTTTTCACTGATGGGCAGACTTCCCTAGCATTGATGCTTCCAGAACTCAAAACACCAAACTGCCTGCTTTTTCCTCTGCTTTTAACTCCTGTACTTCCAGCAGTAGTGGGTTGTTCTGCATGTCTTTCTTAAATGCAAATATCCCAACTCTGAAGGTCCTGGGTGGGGTTCAGGATTATACCTAAGTCCTACACTATACAAAGGCTCCAAGCAAAAAGCCTCATTTCTCAGGACAAATTCTAAGTTCCCTTTTAGCAAATCCCATCAAGAATAGGCTGAAGGCAGGTGGACAAGCTCTCCGTAATAATGATTCCTGATATTACTCTCACACATGTATGTCTGTTTTACAATAATACGTGGAGAAGACAATATCCACATGGCAAAAAACACAAACCTTTTAAACACTCAAGTTCAATGTTTTCCTCTAACTTGGACTAACCCCATTCAAATGCATATGGCCTAAGTCCTCTAGCAGTGTGGATTCCAGGAGGCCCAGGCCCTGTATCATTAGCATCAATGCCAACTCAGGTCCTATATGCACCAGGACACACAATGTCTGTGATTCCCTTTCCTCAGTGTGCAGTTGAAAGAATGGAGAACTTGGGGAACTTCTAGGGGATTATTACAGGACATGTTGGTCATCATGTTGCATGAGCATTCCTCTAGAAGAACCAGCCGTCCTTTCAACAACTAGGTCTGGGTTTGAAAATGGATTAGTTCCCATAATAGGGGAATTATGATTTTGTATGAAGCAATGTGGTGGCTTCATAGAAAATTCATAATAAAAATCTGCTGTAGTTTTTCTGCTTGTTTGAATTTAGATGCTGAGCAGCACCTTTTTACTTCCCATGAAGACTCAGAGGAATCTAGGGATAAACAATCTTTGGGGTATCTATCTACTCAGTGTTCCTAGCCCATGCCTCAGGGTCCCAGATTTGTACAAGCAAGAAAGTATTTCTTCCTAGCCCTAAATATATATATACATATATATATATATATATATATATTAAGCTCAACAATCAAATCTTAATTCCTCAGTGTATTCATCAGCTTTTTAGTCTTACTTGCTGCTGAAAACACACAGCTTGTTAAAGCAATTCATGAAGTCCTATGCTCTCCCCAATTTGTTTTCATTGTTTAACTTTCGTTGTATGCATTCTCATCCTTTCTTTCATAGACCTGAATCCTGCATCAGAGCCTGTTCTCTTCCAAGAGCTTGCTCACTCTAGTCGTCTCCGGTAGCCCTCAACAACTTAGCCTCTAGCTTGTGCCCTAAAAACTTGTGAGAAACACCATTTGATTGATGCTTGGTTAATAATGTTTGTTATTGTTTTTTATTTTAAATGCCATTAAGTCAGTTCCAATTCATAGTGACAAACAGGAGCAGATGGTGAGTTTGAACTGACAATCTTGTGGTTCAAACCAATCTTGCATTCCAGTGCATTGTACAAGAGTTAAATTCAGTGACCCTTGGAAATTCAGCCCTGAGTCTGAGTCTAAGGCTTTTCTGACTGGGCCTACTGAGGATGTTTGCTCATGTGCAGAGAAGAGCAGACAAAGCCTCTCTGCAGCTGGAAACCCAGCTGGCCCCACCCACCTGCTTTACATATTCCTTCCAGTCCACCTGGTCCTCCAGAGCTCCTATGAATGCTGGGTCTGGAGGGGAAGATCTGTCTCACTTGGGGCACAGAGTGAACCATGGAAGGCCCAGCTCAGCTTCTCTGCCTGCTAGTGTTCTGGCTCCCAGGTGAGGGCAATAGGGATGGTTTTCTTACTGAAAAGTATTTTAATGTTTTTAGGTCCTTGGAACTGACACCTATGCTAGGCAAGGAAAAGGAATGAAACTATACTTACAGTTTTTTGGAATACAAATGGGTCTGTGGGGAAGACAGTGTTTTATGGTCCAGATCATATGGGTGACTTTGTGTTTTATTTCCAACTTCAGATGCCATGGGAGACATTGTGATGACTCAGTCCCCAGCTTCCCTCTCTGTGTCTCCTGGTGAAAGAGTCTCCCTCAATTGCAAGTCCAGTGAGACTGTTTATAGTATAGCCTGGTATCAGCAGAAACCTGGGCAGGCTCCTAGGCTCCTCATCTATGGTGCAAACAGCAGGGCTGATGGCATCCCAGACAGATTCAGTGGGAGTGGGTCTGGGACAGACTTCACTCTCACTATCAGCAGCCTGAAAGCTGAAGATTTGGGAACTTATTACTGTCAGGAGGGTTATAGCTCTCCCACAGTGTTACATGCTTGAACATAAACCCCACCACCCCGGGGAGCACATGTGTGAGGCTGGGCTCTCCCAGCTGCTTCTCTTTGTGCCTCTTTCTGCTTAGTACCTTTTCAGATGTAACCACTCTGTGAAGGTCCTTTCTTGTTTTTGTAGTAGGAGCTAGGCTGACTCCTCAGCCTCCCTACTGGGATTGCTTCTCCTTAGTCCCAATAGCACAGACATAGACTGAAATTATAGTGCTGGGGTTTAGTGTCAATCAGAGCTCATACTAAAAAAGTGAAGCCATTCTTAATATTCTAAGCAGGAGCTCTTATAACAATTCTATTTAGGTATTAGAATCTAAACAATTTTCAAAGCCTTGGGACTCTCCTTGCCTGGGAAGCAGAAAATGAAAAGGAAGTGATTCTTTTTTTTTTTTTTTTAAAGACATTTATTCAGCATCATGATCAGACTATTACATTTAGCAATCAACAGCATGGGTGCGGAAAAAAAAAAACTACATTAAAACCCTTTGTTGGAATGCTTCACACTTTCCACAGAACAGAAACTAAAATAACCAGTTATACAATTACTCACAAATACAGTCCTCGAGTTTGTTTTGTTTTTTGCCCATACACATGAGTATTGTCTAAAACATGTCTTCTTTGTAGCAGCTAGGCCCTGGTACCACTGTGCTTGGCTGAGTTCACAAATCTGCTGTAACCTGTAGCTTCCCTGTCACCTCTCTGGCTCTCCTCTCCTGCTAAGCTTTGTTTCCTGGCAATCATTAAAACCTTCTGCCACTCCCATAGCTACTGCTGCTGCTTGAACCGCCATAGCCACCTTGGTTTCATGGTTTGGCAAAATATTGACCTCCACCACCATAAGGGCCAGAGCTTCTGCCTCCAAAATTTCCTCCCTTCATGGGTCCAAAATTTGAAGACTGATTATTGTAATTGCCAAAATCATTATAGCTTCTACCGCCTCCAAAATTGCTTCCATCATTACCAAATCCATTATAACCATGCCCACTGCTTCCATATCCACCACCACCATGGCTGCCACCAAAGCCACCTCGTCCACTGAAGTTTCCTCCACGACCAAAGTTGTCATTCCTACCAAAACCACCTCCATGGCCACGACCGAATTTTCCAGAACCACTTCGACCTCTTTGACTGGAGGAGGCACTGGCCATCTCTTGCTTTGACAGGGCTTTCCTTACTTCACAATTGTGGCCATTCACAGTATGGTACTTCTGGATAACAATCTTCTCTACAGAGTCATGGTCATCAAAGGTTACAAATGCAAAGCCCCTCTTCTTGCCACTGCCTCGGTCTGTCATGATTTCACTCCCTTCAATCTTTCCATACTGCTCAAAATAATCTCTTAGGTGATGCTCTTCGGTGTCTTCTTTAATGCCACCAACAAAAATCTTTTTCACAGTTAAGTGGGCACCTGGTCTTTGAGAGTCTTCTCTTGAAA